TATGATTCTGAAGCTATGATTACCGAAAATATTTGCGTTTGGACTTAACAGATGAGCGATATATCAGACAATATCACTGGAATATTACAATATCACTGGAATATTACTGCAATGTTACAATGTGACTATCGTATGGCAACATAGTGGCAATATTACAACATTATTGCGCGATGATAAATCTCATTGCAATATCACAGGAATATTGCCGCTATATTTCAGCATGACAGACCGTTACGTAATATTTTTGATTATCGCCGCAATACTGCAGTGTGAAATAATTTATATACAGGGTGTCCCATTTTAATGTCACATCACAAATATCTCAGAAACACTGCGTTAAATCAAAAAATGTTTCAGACAAAAGTTGTTTAGCTTGAAGGAGAACAAGAAAGCGATAGCATTTTGTTTATAAATGGCGCCACTTTTGAGATATTCATTGACAATCAATTTTCATAAATGGAAATTCGAATTTTTTGTTATATTTTCTTTTTCTATCAATTAATTTGAACAATTTTTGTCTGAAACATTTTTTTATTTGGTTAATATTTTTTGAGATATTTAAGGAAAACTTGGTAACTTTTTCAACATTTAACTTACGATATCTCGCTAACTATTCGTCAAAAAAAAAATAGTATTAGACTTTTTTACTTTACTTACTATCAAGTATATATTATTATAATAGTGTCCTAACTTTTTTTAACTTATCGACCTTTGGAAATTTCAAAATTATTAAATTAACAAAAGTTAGGGCACTATTAATATATTCTTGATATTAAATAAAGTAAAAAAAGTCTAATACTATTTTTTTTGTCGACGAATAGTTAGCGAGATATCGTAAGATAAATGTTGGAAAAGTTACCAAGTTTTCCTTAAATATCTCAAAAAATATTAAGCAAATAAAAAATGTTTCAGACAAAAGTTGTCCAAATTAATTGGTAGAAAAAGAAGATATAATAAAAAGTTGGGATTTTCATTTATAAAAATTGATGGTCAGTGAATATCTTGAAAGTGGCACCATCTATTAACAAAATGCTATCGCTGTCTTATGTCCCCCTTCAAGTCAAACAACTTTCGTCTGAAACATTTTTTTATTTAACGCAGTGTTTCTAAAGCGTGGTCTACAATGGCCGTAAGCAATAAGAAGAAAGCGTGAACAGTAAGAAATGGACCAACCACAGTTGATTATTTTTGTCATAATCGACTGTGATTGGTTTATTTCTTACCGCTTACGCTTATTTCTTACTGCTTACTGCCATTGTAGACCACGCTTGAGATATTTTTGTGAGATTTATGCCTAGGACATTAAGTATCTTTGCAATATTGCTGTGATATTTATGCAATATTTCAGTAATATTCCTGCAATATTGCAGCAACATTTAAGAAATATTGTAGCAACATTCCTGCACGATTGCAGTAATATTTCGGCAATATTTTGCAATTTTTCTGCAGTATTGTGGCTATATTTCATAGGTATTCCTGCAAGATTGTGGCGATATTTCAACAACATTGCGGCAATAGTTCTGTGATATTGTGACAATATTCCTACAACATAACAATATTCCCGCAATATTTCTGCGAGACTTATGCCTAGGACATTAAATATTTCTGCAATATTGTTATCATATTTATGCAATATTTTAGTAATATTCCTGCAACATTTCTGTAATATTCCTGCAATATTGCGGTGCTATGTGGGTTATTCCTACTATTATTTTCCTACTCAATAATGTAAATGGTATATAACAGTTATATTATTGAGTAAAAAATTACAACAAACTAACCTAACCAACATAATGTTCACCAACATAATATTTAATGAGTTATATGATTATACCTGCGCAAAGAAACTTATGTACATATATTTTAAGAATACGAGCTCAGTATTAATTTTCTAGAAAAGTAATTAAAAAGTTCAATTAACTTAAATATAATAACTTTTAATATATGTAGAATTGATCAGATTATGTACCTACTTTTGGATACATACCACAGTGAGATCTGTTATTACGAACAAGTATACGACAAAGCTTGTGCGTTGACATACGACTACGACTACGACTTGTCGTAACTGTTACGACATGTTTTGTGTTTTGGCCCTATGGCCATTTTACGCGCTGTGGAGATCTCCCTAATGGAGATGAGTGCTAGTAAAGTTGATATTTTTACCGACTCATATAGCTCACTGAGTCTTCTATGGCTGCGTTCCGATATTCACTGCCAGTACTGAAAATTCATAATATATGTGACATAAAGTATATATTTTTAATACTGGCAGTGAATATCGGAACGCAGACTATATAAACTAGATATTGAAGGATCAGGGTCCGAACTCATATATAACATCAAAAATAAAATATATCTAGCTAAAATGAAAGGAATCGATATTCAACTCATATGGATCCCTGGACATAGAATCATTCCGAGGAATGAATTGGCAGATGAGCTTGTCAAATTAGGAATGATAAACAGCGAACCCCCTTTAGAACAATATTGCACTATCCAATCAGAAGACTTAATCAAAGAACAATGAGAAGAATGCAATAAAATAAAATAAAATAAAATAAGAAGAACGCACTTCAAGATCTTGAAAATGAATTTTTATTTAAAGGAAAAGAATGCAGAAAAATGGTACCTAATCTACTCCAAGGCCCGTGGTTCAAAGAGCTACCAAATACGAACAGGGGCCCTATTCTTGAACTACTCGTGTATACGTAAGTGGCAAGTTTCGACTAATCGCAATGGAAAATCCCTAGAACCGTATTCTTGACAGTCGCAAGTGAAACGTATACGCAAATTATCATTCGCAAGTGAAACGTATACGCAAATTATCATTCGCAATGCAACGAATGGGTAATACCATCCGTTTCTCTCGAAACATATGTGATACATTATGCAAAGTACAGAAAGTGGAGTATAAAAGTACACGTAAAAGCACACTGTTATTAAGAAGAAAAATAATTCAACGCTAAGACGGCTAAAAGAGTGAAAAATAATAGCTGACTTTACATATCCGTAAGGCCCAGTTCCACAACTTGCTTTAAACGGAGTTTAAAGCAAATTTTGGAACTGCGCCTAAGAGAAATAATAAATACGAAATTTAAGAGAAAATAGCATATAAATTTCACTGCATTTTAATTATAGAGTAAAATTGTGTAACAATAATGGATTTAGATATAATAGTAAACATACCAGTTATAAATGCGTTAGAACATGCTGAAATAATGGAAGAACCAAGAAGATTTTTCCATATTAGTTCCATATTAGTTCCATATTTTCTACTTTGTTCTGCTGAACGCAGCCAATTAAAGTTCGTCGTATTGTATTTTTGGTCGATATTTGCAGAAAGTACATATGTTTTCCAATGTTGTCAAACGTAATTAAACACAACGGAAAGCGTGTATGTTTCTTAGGTTGTTCGGAAAGTTCGTTTCAAATTTTTGAAATAAATTAAGAGCGCAATATTTTACATAAAGAGGAACTTTATTGAAGCAAATATGTACCGTTTTGCTCAACGACCTTGGCCCATCTTTCAGGAAGCTGTATGATGCCTTTGCTTCAAAATAAAGGTTTCTTATTGGCGAAGAATTTATCAAGATGACTTTTGAGGGTTTTCAAAGACTCGAATTTCTTGTCCCGAAGAAAATTTTTTAAAGAAAGAAATAGATAGTAGTCAGATGGGGCAAGGTCGGGAGAATATGAAGGATGAGGAAGAACGTCTCATTCGAAGTCTAACAGCTTCCTACGGATAGACATTGCGACGTGAGGTCTGGCGTTATCATGATGGAAAACAATTCCACGCCTGTTGGCCAATTCAGGGCGCTTCCGTGCGATGGCAGTCTTCAATTCGTCTAGTTGAAGGCTGTACTTCGCCGCGTTGATGGTTTCGTTTGGTTGAAGAAGCTCATAATATACCACGCCCTTAAAATTCCACCAGATACTCAGAAGAACCTTTTTCGCGTGAAGCCCCGGCTTGGCCACTGTTTGCGTAGACGCGTCGCTAGTTCCCAACGACCTCTTGCGGCTAACATAATTGTATAGGATCCAACTTTCATCGCCTGTTATGATCCTCTTCAAGAATGGTTCTTTTTGATGCCGTTGAAGCAGCATATCGCAGACATTCACATGTTCCAGCAATGCCGTTCATTCATTTCGTGTGGCACCCACACATCCAGTCGACTTGAGAATCCTAGCTTCTTCAGATGGTCATGCACGGTGGAAACAGACTTGTGCAGAGTGTCGGCGAGTTCTCTAACTGTCACTCGAGGATTTTCGTACACGAGATCCATAAGAAGCGTTTCATCAACCTCCTGAGGCCGGCCTGAGCGAGCTTGATCTTCCATGTTGAAATCGCCAGCTTCGAATCTTCGATACCATTTTCGAACTGTCTGGTAACGCAGGCATCTCCATATACTGAGAACATCTCATTCAGGGTCTGCGAAGCCGTAAAGCCACGTTTAAAGCAATATAGCATCACATGACGAAAATGGACTTTTTGGTTCTCCATTTTTCAAACTGATTTCTGACGAAATAGTTACACTTAGGAAGATCTGCGAAGTTTTCTTAGCGGGCTCATAGATCCGGGAATGTTTGTTGACAAACATAAAATCGTTTAGAGCGCCCTCGTTCTTACTGATTACATAGAAATGTGGAGCGCGCGAAATTTGAAACGAACTTTCCGAACAACCTAATAGTTAATACTACACAATTAAGTTCAAGAATACCGTGTCAGAAACGTATGCGCATTTTTACTATTCGCAACGTGTGTATACGTAAAGTTGCGTTTAGATTAAAAAATAGGGCTCCAGAGGTATTATCACATTGATGGCAAGATTAAGGTCATTCCACATTTCCACGGGAACACATCTTACCAATAAGAAAAAGCCTGTTCGTTTTGTCTGCACTGCTGAACTGGTGCGTTAAGTTAAAGTGAGACAAATGTAGTTTTTCTCAGGCCCCTGACACTTGCTATTATATCCTTTGTTACGGTATGTCTACGTAATGAAGCCAAGCCGCTACGTGGCGCTAGCAACAGTCACCATGTGTTTACGTCTGTAATTTCAATGACTTGAGGTTAGAAGTGTGTTAAAGCTTCGCGAGAAAAATAACAAAATAAAAAGTAAAATCAAATATGTATCTAATAAAAGTAATCTTAATTTAATTAAATGATGCCGCGCTGTATTGCACTTGGTTGTACATCAGGTTACACTTCTAATCATGAAACAGTTCATTTTTTTTATATTTATTTATGTTTATATTTATTCCAAAGGACGAAAATGTGAGAAAAGCATGGCAAGCAGCTTTAAAGAAACGATATAACTATCAACTCAAAACAAGCTGTATGCCATCATCACTTTTTAAGTAGTGATATTTTGTGGAAACGTGAAATTTGTGATGAGAAGGGAAATGTTCTTGGTGTGGTAAGTTATGTTAGTTATCTAAGTCATTTTTCCATTTGCTTAATTTACAGCGATCATTTAATACTGATATAATATTCATCAAAAAAACTATTATACTAGTTTAATAAACCATTGTTTACATGCATAAATTAAAATTATTAAATAGAAAGTTACTATTTAGTACAAGTATTAAATAATCAGTATAAAGTAGGCAATATAGTCAATAATGTTTAATAATTTATATATATATAACAGCAATATTCACTTGTTGACTTATTAAATAATAGTCATTTAAATAACAATTATGTAAGTTATACTTGTCATTATTAATTGTCATATTGTAAATATTTTCTTTAGTCTGCGCCATTTAAAATTCCAAGGCTATGTAAAGGGGTTGTGCCTTCACAATTCCCCTGGTTTGAAGAAACTCCAAATATAGAAGATACATATTCTATACATATTGATCAAAATGTACACGACCTGCATATTGAACAACATGAAGAAAATGAACATGTGATAGTACCATCATTAAATAATACAATAGAGGATCGTACGACAATGTTATCATTTGATAGCTTAATAGATAGTATAAACAGAAAACAGTTTAATATGCCAAGTCAATGGATGCATATACAATATTGCAGTAGTGACACACGATTATTGGTATTTTTTTTAGCAACATGCAACAAAATAGAAAATTATAATGACAGATATTCATTTAACCCTATCAAAGAAGTCATACTCAAAGAAGATATGACATTACAAATAAATGTCTTAAAGCAACCCGTTTTAAATATTCCATCACACATACAGATTTATAATAATATCAATATAATAGAACTGCTACAAGAGACATTATTTTTTTTTGATAGCCTTGACATATGTTGTGGTACAAATAAAAGTGAGATTAAAGATGTTGAATATAATGAAGCTTTTAAAGATATTAATGGTATATGGAGACACAAGAAATGTTTATTACTTTCATCCCAGAAATGTAAATTTTGTGCCATTGCAAACAAATCTATAAATCAAAAATACCGTCGGAGAAAAATAATAAAATCAATTAAAAGAATAAAAATAGCTGTATCAAAAACAGAAAAACAAAAGAAAATTTTATTATTACGCAAACGATATTATAAAGCACAAAAAGCAAAAAATAGAGCTAAATATATATCAAATAAATTGAGAAAAGAACTTGCAGATAATATGATGAAAGTAAAAGAAATTTCAATAGAGAACATAAAAAACCAATTAAAAGAAACACAAATTTCTCAACATCAGTTAACTGCAATACAAGAAATAATAAAAGCTGCGAAACATACAAATATTAAAGGTCACAGATATAGTGAAGATTGGATACTATTATGTTATTACGTATGAAGTCACCTAAAGCTTATAACTTTTTAAGAAAAAACAAAATACTACCCCTTCCATGTATTAGAACTATGCAAAGGTAATATACGTACATTTTTTTATTATTTTAATATAATTTCTACTTAGAAATATGTATAATATGGTATGAGTATATGGCGATTTTTATATAACAATGCAATATATGAATTGGTTTTAGATATATTTCACTTATTGATACACCATGCGGTTTCGACACAAAATTTTTTGAGATGTTTAAATTAGCATTGGAAAAAAAGAAGAGAGACAAAAACATGGTGTAATTTTGCTCGATGAAATACATCTTACAGAGTCTGTTAATGTGAACTCTAAGAATCTCACATATACAGGGTTAACTTTGGAAGTGAAGGGATACTATCATTTAATCTTGATGATAAAGCAGACCATGGATTAGTAATAATGTTTCAGCCACTTGCAGATTCTTATTCCCAACCAGTAGCAGTGTTTGCTTCCAAGGGGCCTGTATCAGGAGAAGTACTTGCGCAACTAGTAATTAAGGTATATACAATATGCAGTGCAAATATTTTTATATATATCATATTTTTCTCATAATTCAACAAAAAATTGCTAAATATGTAATATGCTTCATACTGTTTCTATTTTTTTCATATTATAGGCTATTGCATTATTAGAGAATATCAATGTTAAAGTCCATGGTATAATTACTGACGGTGCTGCAACTAATAGAAAATTTTGGAATATTGTAGGTGTATCTGGAAAAAAAGATGATTTAATTAATGTTTTTAATCACCCCACTGTAAACGGACGTTATATATATGTATTCTCAGATACATCACACCTTATCAAAACTATTAGAAATCGATTATATAGTACATCATTACAGGTAAAATAATAAATCAATTTTTATGTGGTTGTGTGTTACTTCGTGCATAATGTAATTAAGGGAGATTTCGGAAAATCGAAGTATTATTATTGTTTTTCTAAAAAATAGTGAATTTCTCTTATATTTCATTTAGCTTTTGACGTTATGCCGCGTTCTTCATAGATTTGTTTTTGACGTTTTGTGAACCTTTTACTTCATTACTTGAAAATGAGGATCAATTTGATATTCTGTATATTCAATATAAAATCGATCCTTATTCTAAGAAATGAAATGAAATGCTCACGAATTCTCACGAATCGTCAAAAATAAATCCACAAAGAATGCGGCGCAAAGTTGGAAACCAAGTCAAATATTTATTCACAATGCGAAAATTTAAAATATTTAATCTCTTTCGTTTTTATTTTTAGCTCAATCCTGATGAAAAACATATCAAATGGGATTATTTCCGAATATTACATAATAAAGATAAATCGCTACCAGCTCTAATGCGAATATATCCAAAAATAACAACCAATCATTTAATACTTACTAACGCAGCTAAAATGAGAGTTCGTCTAGCTACTCAAGTAAAACATCTTAACAGTATTTTATTTAACGTTTTAACAGATTATTTAATAGAACAGTCCAGTAGTTTACAAAATATATCTTTATATAAACGCCATTGTTATAGGTTTTTAGTAAATCGATGTTTCATGAATTGAGATTTTATAAAAATTTCTTACCTGAATTACAAGAATGCGATAACACTGCAAACTTTTGTGAATGGATAAATAACTTATTTGATGCACTAAATCGAAACAAAGTTTCTGAAGGTTTGACTGTTGAAAACACGGACTACAAAGTAAATTAAATATTTTCAATTAGTTAATAATTGTTTTGTAATTTATATTCGTTTTTTGTCTATGTATTTTGAAGAAGCTAATATTATGCTAAACGTTCAATTTCTTAATAGATTTTAGAGACATCTCTTGAAAAATTAGATGCTTGGGAGCAACATGTCCTTGATGGTACTATTAAAGAGGAAAATTTTTTAACGAGACAAACTGCTGAAGGTCTTCGCGTGACGATAAAATCAACATTAGATATAATAAAATATTTAACGACAAATGCTGGTTTTCCCTCTGTTTTAACAGGCCGCTTGAATCAAGATTCACTCGAGGTTTGATAACAAAGCTCATATTTCAGTAATCATAATGTTACATATGTAACATATATGTTAGTTAAAATTTCCTACTTAACACGTAAATGTTATATAACACACATGTTACATAATAGCTACATTGTTGAGTAGGAAATTTTAATTAACATGTACGTTGCATGTAACATCGTATTTGCTGGGATATGTCTCCAGGTAACAGAATGACATCTAAAGACGTCTTAATGATGTATTATTGACATTAAAGGCGTCATTAATAAATTATTAATGTCACTTGATGTCATTTTGTTGACTGGATATATATATGTCTATATATGCAAACATTTAATTATGAAAGACATATGTATATATATATATATATATATATATATACCCAATCCTAACATTATTTACATGCTTAGAACATCTTTGAATCGTCCCCAGGAAAACCTTGCACCGTTAGAACAGTATATAAAAAACATTAGATCATCTTAAAATATTGATTATAAAATCAATCCATCAATTCACTTTTTTGAACATATGTTTCTTGAATGTGTTTTCGTTTCATATTTTTAAAATATTTTCAGATATTAATGTGTGTATGTGTGTATATGTGTATTTGTGTGTGTATATTCTATGATATATTTAAAAATATATACAATACATTTTAGAACTGTGACAAGAAATATTTAATTTTTCGTAATACCTTTGAACGTTTATTATAGGAAATATTTAAAACATTATTTTTATTACAAGTTAGTATTAATATGTTTCTATATATTGTTCCATAGAGATTTTTTGGTTCAATAAGACAAGCAGCAGGATGTAATGACCATCCCGGAACCCCTACCTTTCTCCAACTATATAAAATTTTGAGTATTTCAAGCATCCTTGAGCCCCCATGTTATGGAAATTGTTCTATTGCAGATAGTACAAAACCTATAATTTCTATATCTGATATAAAACAGTTATATGAAAAACCAGATAAATCCTTAACAAAATTAAAAGACAAGTTGGATCATGCTGTTGAATACAGCGAATGGATTCTTGATGATATAATAATAGATCATGACTATCATCTACCTGAAATAACTGATTGTATCGTCTATTGTACAACGAGATATTTATGTAATTATATTTTAAAATTTACAAAGTGTGATATATATAAGAACGCTATTACTGATCCCATAGCATGTAGCCTTTTTCCTGCAGCGCTGTTAACAAATATCAAAACTGATGGTCGTCTAACACATCCAAATTTAAATTATTAATTTAATTATATTATTATAATTATATTCTAATTTAATTATAAATTTAAACATGTTTAAATTTATAATTTACTTAGAAAGCTTATTTTCAAAATATTGTCATCGTGCTGATATATATGAGACCATTATAGATAATATTTATATAGAAAATTTGTCTTTTCCATGTAAAGAACATGGTGATGCTATTTTAGCAAAAATAATCGAATTTTACATCTGTATGCGCATGAGACAATACTGCCATAAAATTAATAATGTGAAAAAGAAACAAAGTCAAAATATTTAAAAAACTGCGAAATATTATAAAAATTAAATAAAAAATATCCTAAAACAACAAAAATACTTTATTATTTATGTACCTACCTTATTTTATACTATCTATTTTATTTTGTGTTATACATTTTGATTATATAATTATAAAGAAATATATATATTTATATTTTTATTAATTTATATATATATATATATTATTATGGATCAAACATCTATAGTAAGAATTCGTAACATATACATATAAATTTGTATTATGCTATTGTGAAAAAAGCGAATGGACTTTCAATAAGTTCATAATAAAGTATTATTATCTACCTGAAATTACAGATTGTATTATCTATCATATAACAGTATATTTATGTAACTACATATTAAAATTTAGAAAGTGTAACATATGTAGGAACGCATTTACTGGTCCTATATCATATAACCTTTTTCCTTTAACATTACACATATATACTAACTGTGTTGACTGTTGCCAGCGCCGCGACTTCAATAAGTGGACACCTGAAACTACGAGAAACGGGGGGCTGGTTTTTCTCACTTCAACTTGTTGCACCAGTTCAGCAGTGCAGACAAAACGAACAGGCTTAGGGCCAGAGCACAGACTTCTGCATAACGCATAATACACAACACATAAGAGAATCAACCAATCAGAGTTCTTCATTTCTGTCCTGAGGAGGGAAATGAAGAAAACTAATTGGTTTATTCTCTTATGCGTTATGTATTATGTGTTATGCAAAAGCCTATGCTTTTGCCCTTAACATAATGGATAACGAACAATGGCTATGTTCAGTAGAACAAAATGATCAGGAGCGCTTAGTGATTATTGTCTGTGATTGGAGCATTTTATTAGATTCTTCAGACCCAGAAGTATTTACCAATCAGGAACGAGATTCAGTGGAAAATCGAGTAATGTTGTCCAACTGTTGAGTCTGCTGAATGCAGCCATTGTTGACATAGGCTGCGTTCAGAAAACACAACGGTTACACAACGGTTGAGTAATTCGTCAACGTTATTGGTCAGAATGTAAGGATCTAACAGTAAGTACCAATAGTTATTAAGCGCTCAGTGAGCGCTTTGTTTTCTGAACGCAACCATACTTATGTCATACCACAGCATATATTTCATTTCTCGCATTTCGTTGTGAGTTAAGCTAAGACTCATGCATGCGGTGAACTGGCAAACGGTTCGTGACCATCAGGAGGAGCGCAGTCCGGTTGCGGCAAGCTCCGGCATGCGTCTGTCTCCTGATTGGTCACCGCACCGTTTGCCGCAGCTCACCGCATGCATGGAGTCTTAAGCTAAGACTCCATGCATGCGGTGAGCTGCGGCAACGGTTGCGGTGACCATCAGGAGACAGACGCATGCCGGAGCTGCCGCAACCGACTTGCGCCTCCCTCCTGATGGTCACCGCAACCGTTGCCGCAGTTCACCGCATGCATGGAGTCTTAGCTTTAGCTTTACTGCGTAGACGTGCTCCGCAGGCGGAGCAGCAGCTCTCAATTTTCTCGATTCGTGATGCGTCCCGAAAGTCATTAAAAAAAATGACAACCTTTATGTCCACGATCGGACACCGTATATCAGCGTTTTGATTGGTTCCGCCATGTTTGGGTCCGCTTCCGGTAAAGTTCCGTGCACATTGCCAGGTAACAGGCGGAGAAGCAAGAAATATGAGCTAAAGGATCAGCTGATTACGATTAAAGTTATATGTCGTCTATAACTGGCTAATGGCATTTATACTCGTTGCTATAGAAAAAGAAAAAGAAGTGTACACAGTGGAAGTGTGTTAAAAGAAAAGTGAAGTTTTGTGTTTTATATATTGTGATTGATATTTTTATAAAATAGATAATATAAAAATATATGTAGCAATCAATATATTGTGTAAATATACGTGTAGGTGTAAGTTATATAATCTGTTCTTTATTATAGCACAAAAATGCCTAAATATATTGCAAAAAATTGTAAGAGTGCATCGACCAAGGGAATTAAAATGTGTTCTTTTCCACAAGAAAGGGAAATTCAAATGTTGTGGATAAGAAATATAGGTCGAAGTAACTGGCAGCCGAGAAAAGATTCACGTTTGTGTGAGGTATGTTATGTTGTCTGTTAATATATACACAATATAATTATGTTGTCTGTTTTAATATGTACACAATTTCTTTGTTTCTATATTCAATACCTGTTTACTTTATGTTGTTCTTTGCATAGTTTCATTTTGCTGATGATCAGTGAGAAACAATGAGAGTCGATGGCAAAAAAAAGTTAAAATGGAAAGCTGTACTAACACTATTTGGGGAAGATACTCAAATTCGAATAGATGTAATAAAAAAAAATGTCAGCAAGGTATACAATTAAAGATTTATCTACAATGACTTAAGAATATGGCTGTAAAGCTGTAAGATGCGAAATAAATTCTTTTTATTTGCTGACAGCCTACGTTACAATCTTACAGCCATATTTTTATCGTGGATCAGCCTTAAAAGTCATAATACAGTTAAATGTAAAATGTGTGACGTTAATATAAAAGTAGTGGAATACTTTCCATTATTTATATATAATATATATAACATTATTTATATATAAGCAGTATGTTTATTTATAACAGATGAACAATAATATGCTGTTTGTTTTTTAAGAACTATCTATCGAGGAAAAGAGTTTATCAACAAGTGTAAATCAAGAGAATACAAATACAAACGAAATGTTGGAATCACCAATAGATACAACAAAGATATTGGAGCAAAATAACAGTATGGAATAAGAAGATGAAAATATACAAACTGAAATTGAATCCACTCAACCATTGACGTTAAGTAATTCCAAAACAATTCCAGAATATGAAAAAAGATTAGAAAAATTAGAAAAACGTTTATTTCAAAGTGAAAAAAGCAAAAAAGAAATGAAACAATTGTGGGACATGAAAATTAAGTTGGAGAGACTACAGCAGGAAGTAAGAACAATGACATATAAAAATGTTAAATAAGCTATTTAATGAAGATCAAATTAAAATTTTAACTAATGCTTATAAAAAAATGCCGCGTTGATGTAACAACACATTAATTAAGGCTTATCACTTAAAATTCGCTTTCGGATCGCATGGGTATGAACAATTACTCCGAAATAATTTCCCATTGCCTTCTCTTCGAACTCTAACTCGTCATTTAGAACATTTTAAGTTTTTACCTGGTGTCTCTGAAAAGATATTTATATTATATGTTCATATGATATGTTTATATTATATATTATATAACATTATTTGTATTTATATCGTTATCATTAAATATTTAACTTTCATTATTAAGAAATTTTTATTTTAGGTATTATCAATGAATCCGCTTTGTTATTATAGAGTCAATACTCCATGAAAACAGGAACGTTGTGTCCATGTGAAATCCATGTGATTTTGTGGATTCTACGTGAATAATATAATAGATATGAAGGGGAGAGACTATAAAACACTTTCTTTATTACAGGAAATAGAATGGAGTAACTTACAGGAAAACATTTCTGACAGCTACAAATATCGTCGGAGAAGGTTTAAGATACGGTACGACAGCAAAAAAAGAAAAAAAATTTTTTTTATTATACTTTATGACGTTTTCTTGACATTTCCAATGTCAACACGATGTCATTAAATTATTACTTTACTATTACTTTATTATTACTTTACTATTTACTAAATTATTACTTTACTATTTGTGAAATTATATTATGATCATGTATGAATAATATTTTTTATATATAAAATAACTCTATTATATTAGGTGTAGTAAAAAGAAATCCATTATTTTTCCAATAGATGGGGTTAGAAAAATGAGATTTCGTACTAAAAAAACTTTTGTGACAGTTTTGTGATTAGTTGATTCAATTTTGTTTGAGCGCGCGTCAAAGATGGACACTAGCAAAGAGAAAATACGCTATATTTTACAGTTTTTCTTCGATAAAGGCGAAAACGCAAGCAAACCAGGCGGCTGAAAATGTGAATAGTATTTATGGTCCTGATACTGTAACAGCCAATCACGCACAATTTTGGTTTCGTCAATTCCGTTCCGGTAATTTCGATGTCAAAGATGCACCACGCACTGGAAGGCCAATTGTCGAAAATATCGATAAAATCATGGACATTGTCGAGTCCGACCGTCATGTAAGCACTGTTTCGATTGCCCAAGAGCTAAAGATTGCACAAAAAACCGTTTGGAACCATTTGAATAAGGCTGGATACAAAAAGAAGCTCGATGTATGGGTGCCACACGAGTTGACGAAAAAAACCATGGACCGAATTTCCATCTGCGAATCGCTGCTGAATCGCAACAAAATCGACCCATTTCTGAAGCGGTTGGTCACTGGTGATGAAAAGTGGATCACTTACGACAACATCAAGCGAAAACGGTCGTGGTCGAATCGCGGTGAGCCGGCGGAAACGGTGGCCAAGCCAGGATTGACGGCCAGGAAGGTTTTGCTGTGTGTTTGGTGGGATTGGCAGGAAATTATCTACTATGAGCTGCTCCTCTACGGCAAAACTCTTAACTCGGAACTGTACTGTCAACAATTGGACCGTCTGAAGGAAGCAATCGCCCAGAAGCGGCCAGCTTTGGCCAATAGGAGAGGAATTGTGTTCCATCAGGACAACGCCAGGCCACACACATCGATAGTGACTCGCCAGAAGCTCCGGGAGCTTGGTTGGGAGGTTCTTATGCATCCACCTTATAGCCCGGACTTGGCACCAAGTGATTACCATCTGTTCCTGTCCATGGCGAACAATTTTGCTGGTGAAAAATTCGCTTCACGAGAGGCTTGTGAAAATCGACTGTCTCAATTTTTTGCCAATAGGGACGAGGGCTTCTATGAAAGAGGCATAATGAAATTACCTTCAAAATGGCAACAAGTTATCGAACAAAACGGCGCATATTTGACCTAAATCGGATCATTCTAACTATGGTAATTAAAGTCTTCAATTTCATGCAAAAATAATGGATTTCTTTTTACTACACCTGATATTTCTACTTCAATTTTACAAGTCCTCTATCTTACAATTATAGTAACATTAATGTTATTTATAAGTCATCAAAATTAAATATAAATATCTTGCTTGATATCTCTTTTAGTAGAATTTCAACATTCCGCGCATATAACTAAATTTCCGGTTTCCCGGACCCAAACATGGCCGCCACAGGATCGGTGTCCGTACTCTCCATAGACTTATAGAGATAGACTGCGCGTCCAATGAGAGGACTTGAGGAAAACATTAAAGTGAGAGGATCGATAGCAGAGTGAGTGTGCTCTGTCTAATATGTGTCTTGGTGGGGGAAGCCGAAGAGGTGAAGGAGAGTAGGAGAATTGTACGAGCGGTACAACGTTATTTTTCCCCTCATGTCCTTTTCTCCCCTCTCCTAACACAGCGAGAGAGAGAGCCTCACTCACGCAATATCTCTGTCCTCTAATGTTGTCTTCAACGCGCCCATAAGGAGGCGCAGTCTATCTTTATAAATCTATGGTACTCTCCCTTGAGGTACACTAGTTTTTACTGTTCGTTCTCTCTCGTACAGTCCCGATGGAAGGGGTAGCAGACCCGATGGTAGGGGAGGCAGTTGCTGTACGGTCGCGGACATAAAGGTTGTCACTTTTTTTTTAATGACTTTCGGGACGCATCCCGACTCGAGAAAGATGAGAGCTGCTGCTCCGCCTGCGGAGCACGCGCAGTAACTCACAACGAAATGCGAGAAATGAAATATACGTGGTATGATATAAGTATGTCAACAATCATTGCGTTTAGCGGAGAAAACCGCTCAATGAGCGATTAGTGACTATTGGTCCTTACTGTTCGATCCTTATATTTAGATCAATAACATTGATAAATTATTCAACAGTTGCTCAACCGTTGAGTGTCGTGAACGCACCCAATTCTTACATTTTGAAAAATCAGCAGCGGAAGGATAGATACATAGTGCAAGTCACTCAAATGGGAATGCGTCTTTTGCAAGGTCTTAAACAGGTATGTATATTAAATTTTAAATGAAATCGTATTTTTTTAGTCACTAATCGTTTACTAAGCGGTTTTCTCCGCTGAACGCGATGATTGTTGACGTACTTATGTCATACCACATATATTTCATTTCTCGCATTTCGTTGTGAGTTACTGCGCAGGCGTGCTCCGCAGGCGGAGCAGTAGCTCTCATCTTTCTCGAGTCGGGATGCGTCCCGAAAGTCATTAAAAAAAAAGTGACAACCTTTATGTCCGCGACTGTACAGTGCTGTACAGTAACCACCGCCCCTATTCCTCTTCCATCGGGACTGTGCGAGAGAGAACGAACAGTAAAAACACAGTGCTTCCTTTTCTACGATAGTTATACCCCCACTCTTGAAATTTGGGAGAACGCGCAGTCTAGATATATTATGTCTATGGACAGGTGTATGATAACGTTCATAAGTAGTTGAGTTTATCGCCATGAAACATTTTTAGGTTATCTTTTTAAGTTTGTAGAAAGCTTCGAATGTCGCAGTCTGTTTTTCGCGATATTAAAAATCAATGGACTTACTCGATACCGTCGGTTTATGTTCGTAATAGTGAAACAATGAGATAAGATCGATTTTGTGCACCGACACGATACTTTGAAATGGATGACAAATCAGAATCTTCTAACCACGAAAGAAGTTTTACGGAAAAATATAACTACACTAATTTTATTACAAAGCAAGATGTTCAATTAACCGAAGGTACGTAATCAATATATTTATGTGATACTTTTCGTATTAAACGTTAGTTGCAAGATCTCATATTTATCTATATATATTATTAGAAAACAATCTATTCAAGAGAAATGATTTTATTCGATATATAAAAACTAATATAATTTTGTATATAATTAGGATTGACGATGCAAAATAGTGTTCTGCAAAATAATCATTATAGAAGTAACATATGCAGAAGTAAAAGTGATTCAGCATTATGGAGGAAAGACAATGAAAAACTAAAATTGGACCGATTAATGAAGAACAGTATTAATTTAATGATTAATTTTGGTACTGACAAATGTGCTGCTAACATTCCTGATACAGAACTTCAAAGTTGTTGCCATTTACTTAGTAATGAAAATTGCTTCTTGTACAATGATAGGTCTTTACATGGTTGTCTTTCCAAATATACTAGTTTTTCTTTACCTGCAATATCAATATCATCTATAAATACAGGTTTAGTAAAAAATAAATTTAATGGATCTGATAATGATACATATACACACAGAAATGTTGCAACATGTTTTGATGAAGAAGAAACAATATTTAATCAGTCAAATAAAACAAGAAATGTTCAATCTGATTTACAATGTTTTGTTAATAAAAACAGTATTAATGTTTGTAAAAATAAGTCATCAGAAACTGAACATGATAAAAATGATTTTAAGAAACATATAACAAATAATATATTAAAAATTGAACAATCTTGCAAAGAGATAGCAGATTTACATTTAAATAATATTGAAGCTTCAGATGAAAAAACTGAAAACTGTAAAGATCTATATGAAGAAAATAGATTGAACGTACCTTCAACAGTAAATACCCACATGCGAAACAGTCTAATATCTCAACCAACATTAGCTGATGATAGTAAACTTGTTAAAATGTCACTTCTGACAAATCCAATAAATATAATGCAGTCAAATGTTCAGCTTTTAAATAGAAGTCGTAACTTTCTAAACTTCATAACAGAAAAGTCAACAAATATTATGGAGAAAGCTTTGCTACCACAACATTTGGCAATGAAATATAATCATGTATTGAAATCTATTGAAACTGATACTATGGGGGAACTTTGTGCTCCTCTTCCACCAAATAAATCTTTAGGAGATATAATAAATAAATCAGATACAGTTTTAACAACACATACAAATGATTCTTTTATTGTGACGAATTGCATTGTGAAACAAGATTATGATAAAAATGAAAGTAAATCAGATAATACAGCAAATGAAACAAGTGAAAACAAAGTCGACTTATTTGCATCTATAAAAAAGAATAAAATGGACAAGCTTGAGAATGAGACAGTATCAAATAAGAAAAAATATTATACTATTAACAAAAATAATACAGATAAATCAGATTGCAATAATACCAATAGACAAGAAAAGTGCAATTTTTCATTGATGGAAACGGAAGGGAATATGAAGACTACAGAAAAATTACATGATGATATATATAGAACAGAATCGTCTGATCTCCATACCTTACTAGATTTAGATACATCAAAATATGGCTCATTAGAACATCCGTTACATCGTATGTTGTTAGAGGATTACACCCATTTAAAACGTAAACACTTAAAATTATTGGAAAAAGTGGATAATCTGGAGAAAATAAATCAATCAGATAATGAAGCACAAGCAAATACAAATGCATACAATTTGCAAATGGAGAACTTGGAAAAAGCTATGATTAAATTAACAATTGATTTGAAGGCATCACTGGCCACACAAGAAGCCCTAAAAAAGGAGTGCACCACGATAAATAAAGAAAAGGAAAATATGGTTATGAAATATGTAATTAGTGAGAAACAGTTGATTGATTCGCAAAGGTATGTACAACAAAAAGAAACTATATAATTTGTTATTATAATTATGTTACTTCTCATAAATGCTTTCTTTCTTGAGTATTTAAATCTTAAGTGAAACCTATTGATTTAATTGTTTGTAACATATATGCAACAGAACAAAAAACTCTGCAGAATGTAAAGTTAAAGAACTTCTGAAGGATCAGGAGGTATTGCAATGCAAATTGCGTCAAACACAAGGTGAGCGCGTAAGGATATGTGACATCTTGGAAGTAAGACGTCGTGAAATTGTTGATCATCAAAAGGAAATAGAGAAATTGAAAGAAGATGCTAAAATGAAGGAAATCCAATTAAAATGGGCACAAAATAAACTTAAGACTGAAATGGATTCACAAAAAGATACTCAACAGAAATTGGACAGGGCTCTGGTAAAGTAGAATATATGTTACAATTTTGTTTTGTACAATTTTGTTTTTGTACAATTTTAAAACATGATCATTAGAGGAAAAAAATTCTCTAATAGAATGTAAATATTATTTAGATGTATGTTGCAGATGAAAATCAATGATATGAAAGAGGAATGCGAGCAGATACGTCGCGAGACGCAAGAATCATTCCGCAAATTTCAACAATCCGAAGAAAATAAAGCTGTGACGTTGGATCAGCAGTTGAAGGAGCATCAGGCGCGTTTAATTTTAGAAAGGCACGTTACGGAAGATAAAGAAACGCTAAGGCTTCAATTGCAGAAGGAACTAGAAATTTTAAAATCTAGACAACAGGATTTGATCGAAGAAAACAAGAAACTTAATTTGAAAGTTCAAGAGTCCGAAAAAATTCGATTGGGCTATGAAAATAATTTGAGTGATTTGAAAAATGTGGCGAAACAACGTCAAGAACAAATTAACGGATTGTTAGACAAAGTTGCTCACTTAGAGACGTTGAAATTTCAATTGCAACAGTAAGTGTTTTACGTTAATAATATTTTATTTATATTTTCATATCTTGAGAAGTTTACTATATTCAATGAAAGGATTCCGCACAGATCTTATGGGAATATGCCCTCGGTTAAATTGGATGGAATTGAAGTATGTTCCTCGACATCTCGAACAAAAGTCTCAATAAGCACGACTCTCTAAATTCAATAATTTTCTGTCCAGAGAGATTTAAAGTAGCAACCTCTCAATGAAAACCTACAGTTGTACCATGCTTTTTCACGAAACAAATATATGAATATCTCTCTTTCTCTCTCTCTCTCTCTCTCTCTCTCTCTATATATATACACACACACACACACACACACACACACACACACACACACACACACACACACATATATATATATATATATATAGAAATCGTACCGCTCGTATTGGCATTAGCCAAGATGTACCACGTGGAAGTTAATTAGTCGGATTTACATCTCTTTTGTCGCGCGCGCGTGTGTGTGTGTGCGTGTGTGTGTGTGTGTGTGTGTGTGTGTATAGAAAGAGAGATATTCATATATTTATTTCATGAAAAAGCATGGTCCATCTGTAGGTTTTCATTGAGAGGTTGCTACTTTAAACCTCTCCGGACGGAAAATTATTGAATTTAGAGAGTCGTGCCTATTGAGACTTTCGTTGGAGACGTCGAGGACCATAACATATTTCAATTCCATCCAATTTAACCGAGGGCACATTCCCATAAGATCTGTGCGGGGTCCTTTTATTACCTAAATAGAGAAAACATTAAAAATTTCTGACATATCTATCCCTTACATATGAATACATGGAAAAATTAACCTTTAATTATGAATCACTCATTTCATTTTTGCAGTAAAGAAGAGTATATAACATCGGCCGAAGTCGAAATACAGCAATTACGATCGGCTAACGAAGAATTGCAATCCGACATGCAAGCGTGTCGTCAGAAAGAAGCTGATATGTTGGATTTCACGCAAAAATTAACGGACAAAAACGTACGTCTTCAATCAGAATTCATCATAATTCAAAGAAAAGCAGATTATCTCGAGTCCGAACATGGTCCATTGCGTGATTGTATCAACGAATTAAACAATAAAGTCAAAGTTTTGGAGAGAGACTTGATGGAAGAGCAAAAAAAACGAAAAGAAGAATGCGAAATTTTAGCTAAGCATGTCGCTGAACAGACTCAACTTGCGCAAAATATTGCCCAGAAATTGGAGGATAGTCAAGGCGAGAATGCAGTATTAAAAAGGAAACATCAAATTTCTATCAAGGAGCTAACACGGGAATTGCAACAGTGCCGTAGAAAATTAGAAATGTTTGAAGCTGCATCTCCCAGTAGTTCCTTGGATATTGCATCCAGGACTGGATCTAATACTTCTTTAAATACAGGTTCAGTATCAATAAATGTTTGAAACTGAATCACTAAAACGCATAGTCTATTTCTGTTTTTTTCTCAGGTGATACATTAAACGGTGCCTTATCGGATAACAATGCTAATGGCGACCATATTCACTCTGTAGAACCCAATAGACAAGTATTGATAAATCACATTATAAAACTTCAAGAGATAAATGCAAAGAGAGCCGAAAAGCTAGATTTTTTAGAAGAACATACTCAAGCATTGGTCGAAGAGGTGCAGAAGAAAAAGAAAATCATACAAAACTATATTTTACAACAAAATTTTGGAGCTTTGGGATGTAACGAAAGAGATAGACATAAGGTATATGTCTTTGTTGAGTTAATTATATTTTACTTCAATATATGAACATCAGTACATAAAAATGACCACTTAAACAACTTCTTAATATATTTGTACAAACATATGCAATCCTATTTAATAATTTAATATCAATATTTCATGTAGAAAACGATAATTATGTACAATATATGACATATATTTAACTTTTTCATATTTGTACTTAAATTGTTATTTAATTTGTATTCATCAGGGTGTGTTTCTTCCGGATGGATACTGCGTTGTAATTCAGCTTTATGCCGACGTTTCGCAAACATTGCAACTTGCATCATTAGGACTAGGAGCTCCGATACTGAGTTTTTCTGGTTTGTAGTTGTCCTTATATACTCTTCCATTCTTCTAAGTGGGGGTTGAGAGAAATGGGGAACGAGGTGGAGGAAATATTTCGACAAATCATATTAATTGGCTAGCTAGTAAATTAAAAACCGGGAGGACAGCGTGCCGAATAGAGTTCATCTGAAGACTCTTATCTCGGTTAACATTGTTGGGATGTTTCAGAATTTCCAACCCTTCTCGATGTTTTCTGGCGTAATAGTTTTGTGAGGGGATCAGAATGGTTGTTTTGTCAAATTGCACGGTGTATCCAGTCTTCATCCAGTGTTCAGCCAAGGCAGATTGAGAAAAGTGACCGTATTTGGTACATCGCATTCTTTGATCCGTGTACTAATCCTCTTCCCGGTTTCTCCTATATATATTTTTCCGCATGCACAAGGGATCTTATACACACCTGGTGTCCAAGTGTGGTTTCTCGTCTTTCGGTTGGGGAGTAATTGTGAGATCTTTATTGGTGTCTTGAAAATCACTCTGATGTTATGTTTGTTTAGATTCCTGCCAATACGTTCTATTATACCTCGAAGATGTGGGAGGACAACCGTCTTGTCCTTTTCTCTTTCTTCCTCTGGTGACTCAGTTTTTACTCTTTCTTCCTTTGGCTCTTGGGTGTTGTTCGGATCCGAAATTTTGTTCTTAAGTTTATAGGTTACTCGATTGATGTCTTTACTCTCGTATCCGTTGTTGGTTGAGGTCCGATTGAGGTGTTCTAATTCTTCATCTAAGGAAGCTGTTTCAGAAATTTTTAAGGCTCTATAGACCAGGAAACTAATGACAGATTTCTTTTGTGCTGGATGGTGATGAGAGATTGCGTGTAGATATCGATCAGTATGTGTGGGTTTTCGGTAAATTCGGTGACTTAGTGTGCCATCTTCGTTCCTTCGAACCAGTACGTCCAGAAAGGGAATTTGTTTATTTTGTTCCACCTCCATTGTAAACTGGATATTTGGATGCAATGAATTTAGGAAGTCAAGAAATTGGGGAAGCGTTTCCTTGCCATGACTCCAAATGACAAACGTATCATCCACATATCGAAATCATACCGAAGGTTTAAGAGGTGCGTTCTTCTGGACTTCATTCTCAAAGTATTCCATAAAAATGTTGGCAATGGTCGGCGACACTGGAGATCCCATTGCAGCTCCTGATGTTTGTTCGAAGAATTCCCCTTGGAACTAAAAATAAGTAGACGTTAGGCAATGTTCTATTAGAGGGAAAAGGTTGGCAGGAAGTTTATCGGATTTCTTAATGATATTTAATGTAACTTGGATTGGAACATTAGTGAATAACTATATCAAAGCTTACTAAGATGTCATTAGTTCCTGTCTTCATCTTTGTTACCTTCTTTATGAAATCCATTGAGTTCTTTATGTGTGAGTCATTGAGCCCAGTGAGCTTCTGGAGGGGTTTTGTGAGATAGCGGGCTAGTTGATAGGTAGCTCCACCGATATTGCTAACGATTGGGCGTAGGGGAACCCATTCCTTGTGAATCTTAGGAAGACCATACAATCTGGGTGCTGAAGATTTTCGGGGAGTTAAATATTTGATAATTGGCGCAGGGAGACTTGAGTTTTTGAGCAAAGTAGCTGTTTTCTTTTCTACGCTCGAAGTTGAGTTGCGTTTAAGTTTCTTGTAGATTTTGTGGTCTGAGAGCATAATATTCACTTTGTTGCAGTACTCTTCCCTATACATAACCACTGTGGCGTTTTATTTGTCAGCTGGTAGGATTCAGATCTTGTCCTTCTTTAAGTTTTTGGACGCTAGATTTTCTTCTCGTCTTATGTTCTGTACAGGGGCTTTGGCCTTGCGGAGAATGTTGGCTCTCCGATCCGATTTCTGATGTCGTTGCTAGCTTCCGGAATAAGATGGTAGATAGCCGTCTCCACTTGGCTGATTATTTCCTCTATGGGAATACTGGATGGTGTAACTGTGAAATCGTGTCCTTTGGCGAAGACGGTGATCTCAGATGGAGATAGGGTTTGTTTGCTTATGTTCTTTGCTATATCTGCGAGAACTGGTGTTTGGGCTTGTGGATTGATTTGTTGTACTTTTCTTTCTGCTCCCGCGTTTTTTCTTCAGCGAAGCGAACAGCTTGTTCGTACGTCACTCGGTCCAGTGTCTGCCATCGTTCAGGATCTAATGTACCTGCAAGAAAGAGATGTAATTCTAATAGTTTTCGGGAAATTTTAGCCAAATTTTTCTTAGTAGCCAAAATTCTTTCCTTGACTAATCTTGACGACGTCTGTCGTAAAATTCCTTTCGCCTGGATTGAGGATGGAACAAGGTTTTTTAATTGAAAACATTTTGGTATTACCTGGTGGTCACGGCATCGTTTTAAAAATGTTAGAGGACACAGTTGGACGTGCAAGGACTTCCTAACTTTGATGAATAGGTTCACCGACCCTAGAATCACCTCCCCGTGGAGGTTCTTAATACTAGTTTTTAGACTTTCGCGGCCATCGATATCAGGGTTTCTTTTGGATGAATACCGCGTTGTAATTCAGCTTTGTGCCGACGTTTCGCAAACATTGCAGCTTGCATCATCAAGGCTAAGAGCTTCGATACTGAGTCTTCCTAATTTGTGGTTGTCCTTATATACTCTTTCATTCTTCATCGGAGCTCCTAGCCTTGATGATGCAAGCTGCAATGTTTGCGAAACGTCGGCACAAAGCTGAATTACAACGCGGTATTCAAAAGAAACCCTGATATCGATGGCCGCGAAAGTCTAAAAACTAGTATTAAGAACCTCCACGGGGAGGTGATTCTAGGGTCGGTGAACCTATTCATCAAAGTTAGGAAGTCCTTGCACGTCCAACTGTGTCCTCTAACATTTTTAAAACGATGCCGTGACCACCAGGTAATACCAAAATGTTTTCAATTAAAAAACCTTGTTCCATCCTCAATCCAGGCGAAAGGAATTTTACGACAGACGTCGTCAAGATTAGTCAAGGAAAGAATTTTGGCTACTAAGAAAAATTTGGCTAAAATTTCCCGAAAACTATTAGAATTACATCTCTTTCTTGCAGGTACATTAGATCCTGAACGATGGCAGACACTGGACCGAGTGACGTACGAACAAGCTGTTCGCTTCGCTGAAGAAAAACGCGGGAGCAGAAAAAAAAGTACAACAAAATCAATCCACAAGCCCAAACACCAGTTCTCGCAGATATAGCAAAGAACATAAGCAAACAAACCCTATCTCCATCTGAGATCACCGTCTTCGCCAAAGGACACGATTTCACAGTTACACCATCCAGTATTCCCATAGAGGAAATAATCAGCCAAGTGGAGACGGCTATCTACCATCTTATTCCGGAAGCTAGCAACGACATCAGAAATCGGATCGGAGAGCCAACATTCTCCGCAAGGCCAAAGCCCCTGTACAGAACATAAGACGAGAAGAAAATCTAGCGTCCAAAAACTTAAAGAAGGACAAGATCTGAATCCTACCAGCTGACAAATAAAACGCCACAGTGGTTATGTATAGGGAAGAGTACTGCAACAAAGTGAATATTATGCTCTCAGACCACAAAATCTACAAGAAACTTAAACGCAACTCAACTTCGAGCGTAGAAAAGAAAACAGCTACTTTGCTCAAAAACTCAAGTCTCCCTGCGCCAATTATCAAATATTTAACTCCCCGAAAATCTTCAGCACCCAGATTGTATGGTCTTCCTAAGATTCACAAGGAATGGGTTCCCCTACGCCCAATCGTTAGCAATATCGGTGGAGCTACCTATCAACTAGCCCGCTATCTCACAAAACCCCTCCAGAAGCTCACTGGGCTCAATGACTCACACATAAAGAACTCAATGGATTTCATAAAGAAGGTAACAAAGATGAAGACAGGAACTAATGACATCTTAGTAAGCTTTGATATAGTTATTCACTAATGTTCCAATCCAAGTTACATTAAATATCATTAAGAAATCCGATAAACTTCCTGCCAACCTTTTCCCTCTAATAGAACATTGCCTAACGTCTACTTATTTTTAGTTCCAAGGGGAATTCTTCGAACAAACATCAGGAGCTGCAATGGGATCTCCAGTGTCGCCGACCATTGCCAACATTTTTATGGAATACTTTGAGAATGAAGTCCAGAAGAACGCACCTCTTAAACCTTCGGTATGATTTCGATATGTGGATGATACGTTTGTCATTTGGAGTCATGGCAAGGAAACGCTTCCCCAATTTCTTGACTTCCTAAATTCATTGCATCCAAATATCCAGTTTACAATGGAGGTGGAACAAAATAAACAAATTCCTTTTCTGGACGTACTGGTTCGAAGGAACGAAGATGGCACACTAAGTCACCGAATTTACCGAAAACCCACACATACTGACCGATATCTACACGCAACCTCTCATCACCATCCAGCACAAAAGAAATCTGTCATCAGTTTCCTGGTCTACAGAGCCTTAAAAATTTCTGAAACAGCTTCCTTAGATGAAGAATTAGAACACCTCAATCGGACCTCAACCAACAACGGATACGAGAGTAAAGACATCAATCGAGTAACCTATAAACTTAAGAACAAAATTTCGGATCCGAACAACACCCAAGAGCCAAAGGAAGAAAGAGTAAAAACTGAGTCACCAGAGGAAGAAAGAGAAAAGGACAAGACGGTTGTCCTCCCACATCTTCAAGGTATAATAGAACGTATTGGCAGGAATCTAAACAAACATAACATCAGAGTGATTTTCAAGACACCAATAAAGATCTCACAATTACTCCCCAACCGAAAGACGAGAAACCACACTTGGACACCAGGTGTGTATAAGATCCCTTGTGCATGCAGAAAAATATATATAGGAGAAACCGGGAAGAGGATTAGTACACGGATCAAAGAATGCGATGTACCAAATACGGTCACTTTTCTCAATCTGCCTTGGCTGAACACTGGATGAAGACTGGATACACCGTGCAATTTGACAAAACAACCATTCTGATCCTCTTACAAAACTATTACGCCAGAAAACATCGAGAAGGGTTGGAAATTCTGAAACATCCCAACAATGTTAACCGACACTTTTTGCATAGACGTGGCAAGAACGTGGCAAGCACATCGCTATGATGTCATTACGTTGTAGCGACGTGCTTGCCACGTACGGTACAGTCCGGAGAGATAAGGATCTTCAGGTGAACCCTATTTGGCAAGCTGTTCTCCCGGGTTTTAATTTATCAGCTGGCCAATTAATATGATTGGTAGAACATTTCCCCCACCCCGTTCCCCATTTCTCCCAACTCCACTTAGAAGAATGGAAGAGTATATAAGGACAACTACAAACCAGGAAGACTCAGTATCGGAGCTTCTAGCCCTGATGATGTAAGCTGAAATGTTTGCGAAACGTCGACACAAAGCTGAATTACAATGCGGTATCCATCTAGAAGAAACACACCCTGATTGTGTCAATGGTCGCCAAAGTCTAAAAACTAGTAACTTGTATTCATATTTGTATTGCACTTAAATAACGACAAATTAATACAAAGCCGCGTTATGTCTATAATAATAGACATTGTTATTTCTTTTTTTTTTTTATAATCAAGCATATCAAAAGCAAGAAGGATGCAGTAAGTGTAAGAAAATAAATATCTGTACTAGAATATGTCGAAAAAGCACATGTTATAATTAAGCAGTGCTATCAAATACTGAAAAATATTGAATTAAATATACAGTATCTACTTTATTATATGTAAATAAACATACATATTGTTTCTGAAACATATAGGCGGAATTGGCGCGGCACGGAGGTATAATGGCATCCGTTTATAATCATCAGGTTTCGGACGAGAACATGACATTAAAACTTTCTTTAGAAATAAACCAGAAGTTACAAACAGTTCTTGAAGACGTGTTATTGAAAAACATCACTTTGAAGGTATATATCTCGAATAAAAATTATAAATGAGGAATTATATATATGTTTATTAATAGTTAAGAAATACGATAAATACAATGGTATATATATAGTTTAAGATAATATAATGGATTATATCGTTTAGGACTATCGTTTAGGATCGTATAATACCATAAATTTTATTTTCTATCCTTATATTATTTTGTTTTTTTATCTTTGCAGGACAATATCGATACATTAGGTAAAGAGATAGCAAGATTAACAATGCAGCATCAACAAAGACAAATTTAAAATTAATAATCGTTACATATATGTGTGTGTGTGTGTGTGCGTGTGTGTGTGTGTGCGTGTGTGTGTGTGGTGTGTGTGTGTGTGTGTGTGTGTGTGTGTACACATATATATATATATATATATATATATATATATACATATACATATATACATATAAGTGCATACACATGTGTATGTGTACATATACAGATATATGTTATAAAGAATAGTGTGGATGATTTAACGGCATTTCACTTATTATTGTTTTAAGTTCCATTAAATAACTTGTTATTTTTGTCATTATACAAATTGAATCAATTATATATATATATATATATAACATTATATATATATATATATATAATGTTATATTTAATATAATAAATCCTTATCTTAAAAATCAATGTCTTGTGTTTTATGAAAAATACAAATTTTAGAATTAAGGAGTTCGGAAGGTGTCAAGGTGACAAACCACGAACTTGGTAAATAAATGTTTATTTTGTAAGTTTAACTAAGTTAAGTTTTAGTTTCTAGAATACTTACATCTAGAGGCACTAGTCAAGCTTAAAATCTAGTCGACTACAAATTTATTTATCACACCCGATAACTAATATATTGATCTACGCCCAGGCTGTCAAACACAGTTGGCGTCTGAGCGTATAACGGGTGAAAGATTGCGAATTGAAGTGAAATCTCGACTAAACCTAGTAATTAATATTAAATATCTTTAAACTAACTTTGCATCGTTTATTTTGAGTATTGTGAATGAGCGATTACGTGTGTAAGAAAGATATTCGCTAAAACTTGCATTTTATGATGGAAGAAGAGATCAAGAGAACAAATATATAAGTAGTTTTCTCCCATATTGTTATTGATTGTTATTAATAAGAGACGCTATAAAACTCTATACTTATTCCTTGTATTGCATATTCAATAACTAAATGTCATTTATACGCCTTGCACTCTTGATATCCACGGTTAGGTGTGACAGCTGAAGTTACTTTTGATGGTCGCCTCTCTTTTTTTCAAATAATTGGTAGTCATCAAAATGCTACGTGTATTGACATTGACAATTAATACTGCAATAATAGAGTAAAGGGAACGTCTGTAAGTAGATTTATAATATATTTAATTATTTTAAGTATTATATACGATAAAGAATTGCTATAGAAATAGTTGATTAATGCCTGCTTGAAATTTTATGTCATACGATTCCTCTTGACGTCATATTACCGTTTTATAATTAATTATCATATTCTCAAGCTTTATGGACGTTTATACAAATTGAAACATATTATATATAACTAAAATAGGGCTTATTTGTTTCAGCAATTTTTTTGTTAAAAAATTAAAAAAAAAACTAATTTCCTTCCTAGTTTGAAAATCATACTAATATCCATCTCATTTCATATTAATTACCATTTCTTTGTTATTTTCAAACAATAACTGTCAATCTGATTTATCATATCTGTTCTTTTTACTATGAGAGATAAAGGGAAGTTTTTACTTCATTTTTTAATACTTTCGTATTCTTTGCTTCTTTGATCATTATTAAATATATATAAATATACAGAAAAATTATATGTTCTTTTTTCTTCTTTACGTGCCGTTCTTCTTGATTATCATTTTCCTTTGCACTGATTTCAAACAGGCATAACTTCAAAGTCCAAATCCATTTTACTATTCTCGTGATTATTCCCATGCTACACGCCGTCTGACGTAGACAGACGTAGATTTCTAAAGCAACCTTCTAGTGTTAAGTAGTTTAAGATCGAATTACGATCGTTGATTAATGGAATGATCGATTAACATCTAGGAAATATAAATATATTCGAGGTGTTAAGGAAAACGGTAGCAACAAAATTCGAAGCGCAAAAAAAATGGAGAATGAAGGAATAATTATTCAGAATCTCTCGAGAATACATCTTCGATGAAATAATAAATTAATTTTGGGATATAAATGTTAGACTGACAACAATTGAAATATTCACAACGTGGGATAGCCAGCGCGCATGGGATTTCAATGTATAAACAACACCACTGGCTATATACGCGGCATAATATACAATGCGAACAATACGTTCATAAGTCACGATAAATAACATGATTTTGATGTTTTTTTAATACAGAAAATAAATAGATGAAGACTATCGTAAACTTCCTAACATAATTGCAGCGCGCCGTTTTACAGTAAGCGATAATTATATGAATCATATATGTGTATATATGTACGGCAACAAGGTGTTTTTAACAATACTGAATTAATACATGGACATTACGAATTCGAATATAACATATAGATCACACTTATAATCTTGCTTTCTTGAAACTTCATCGAACAGCCAAGATCATGTAACAAATAAACATGTTTTGCTAATCCTTACTCGTATTATCTATTTGTTATATTTGAATTCGCTGTGTACATGCCTATTGATAAATCTGAGTCAACCTAGAGTTGTTCTAACGAAATAATCGTTTTGGGTTTTCTCTTATATAATTTAATTTGTATATAATTGTATAACCTATTTATAATTAATCGCTGCCTCTATGCCGCAAATGCGTTAAAAATAGTTTCTTATGACTCTATTCATTAACTATTCAAAACTATACAGAATCGGACATATATGGAGTATCCTGTAACTGGCGACATGATCATCAGGAAGTAAGATGATGACTCCACATAAAAAGTTAAATCGGAAATACAGGATAAATTTTTTTCTTTTTTCTTCAAGCAACGCTTTGCTCTCAAGAAAAAGAGACTTCAGATACTGGACAGTGAATGTCTCTTTCTTTTTTCTTCCTCATTGAATAATTTTCAATTATTTCACTCTATATTTTCGATTTATTTTTTGGTTGGAATAGCTTTATATTCTCATTTCTGTCTCATACATGTGCGCATCTTCTTGCTTGTATCACCAGTTATAGAACGACATATCGCACACGTATATGCATATGTAAGCGCTATATTAGCGAAATTTGCCTCATCGACATTCGGAGCATTATTGCACGTGAAAAGTCGAGAGCGATGCAGCATCATAATACAGTACAATTGTTAAAACGCCACTTTCTCTCACAGACAGTACATCACCGCCTTCGGCTATTAACTCGTTAGATTCGTGCAACATAACGAGGCATCCTTTTTCTAAATATCGAAGTTCAGCTATTATCGTTCTTTAGACGAAAAACGTACTCTTATTAGAAAAATGCACTTATTAGAAAACTAGAGAACACAGACGAAGATAAAGTAAAATTCGTTGAGCCGTTGGCGCGTATTGCGCTTGGCACGAATACACGACTGGTGTATTATGTATTAATATGATTATACGCGAGCCAACTTATCGCATGCAATATATTAGATACGCGCATGCAAAGAAGAAAACGTTTCAAGTATTCTCCAGGTCCTTACAGAAAGCAAGAAAATAAGTTATTTGTTTCGGACGCTCTGATGTCTCGCGCACTTCTTAGGAACTCAAACGTAGCAAACTCAAACGCAAATACATCAATTTTCTCCACTGGTTATAAAAATGGAAAGAAAAGAAATTACTTGACTTATTAATCGTAAAGTTGTGTATCTGTCGAAACGATTGCGTGTACCACTTATGCTTAAGTTAAATTCGTACGCTTATATTAATTTTTTTCCTTCTTTCTCACCCTTCCCTCTCTAACTCCTCTACAAAGATATACACTTGTTCGAGAAAATAATACATAACGTCTGATAACGTCTCGCTAACAATCGCCTATATTGCAACTCTAAAAAATAAATTATTATTTGGTGTCTTTTGTTCGCATTAGTTTAAATAAAATTAACCGAGTTCTTTATGCAAAACTGGACCAGCACCGGGCAGTGTGTCACTACGGCAGAATTGCATTAATCGTAATACTGGCACAGTGAGGCAATGACCTTAGGATTCTCTAAATACACTACTTTGATGCTTATTTAACGTATTTACCTGAAAAACTATATAATTATGCATGTCGCGCGCACAAGTAATTATTATCATGTTCTCTTTTTACACCACTTCCATTTTCTTCCATTCACTTAATTTCTATACAGGATGTGCCGCACTAAGCGTATTTCCTTTGGGATTGTATTTTTGGCCAATCTTGAGTCAATTTTTTCTTTATAATATTGTGTCACTTTTCATATATCTCAGTGCATTTCAAGTTAACTTCAACGCAATAAAATTTTATAAACTCATGCCATTTATATATTACAAAATTTTCTAAAACTCAAGGATGTTTACATTTGCATACAATGTTACAAATTAGAAAATTCCCATAAACGATCTTAATTTTGACATTCTTGCTAAGGAAAAATTTACTCAAAATTGGGGAAAAGAAGAAAAAAAAGAGAGAGAGAGAGAGAGAGGTAAAGGAGAAAAGTTTTCAAAGTAAATCCGCTTGATGCGAGAGATATCCTGTACATTGAATAATAACTACTACATTAATCTGTGGCTGCGGACAGTTGCAGATTTCATACGTAACGAAGTACACGGATGTACATTACGATTTTAATTGTATTGAAATCAGTAATTCTAATATTAAAACACGTGCGATCCGTTCCTAACTCGTTCTCAGGGATTTTGTTTCTACGCGATGTCTAAATCATATACTCTTCTCGCTATGTGTATATATATATATATATATATATATATATATATAGGAAACATGTTGAAAATAAAAAAAGAATTGGATGCATTCCCAGATATGATGCTAGAGTTCTAGTGAGAATAGCGATAATAATCGAGAACGCTGTTGGTCGCTACGGAAATAATGGAAAGTTGCAATTAATGTACAAATATTGATGAGAGACATACTGTCCGTCTTTTTCACTGAATTTCACGACGAAGTGGTATCTTTTATGATTAAGATCCATTTTTCAGATCTGAATCCAATCACAGCCGTTGAGAGTGCAAAATATTGCAACTTAACTCGTTGCTACGATACCTAATGTACTTCTATAGAAAGATCCCAGATAGCATTTCGTAAACTGACAGCAAAGTTCCGAATTTCCGATATTTTGAGAGATCGAAACATACAAGATCATTCGAGATTAACGCTGATCTTTCGTGCACAGTTACGCAAAGATATGTCCATTGTGTATAATACATGATGTTTACGTTATCGTGCGTATAGTGCATGTCAGATGCATCGTACCGAACGTTAAATTACAATTCTATTCAGAAGACTGCGATTATACCTCTCTGCTGTATAATTTGCATATCTCTGGCATAGTAGAATGTTATCTGGGTATGTTATAAGATTTAATGCATTTATAGTATAGTATAACTATATTGCCTATCGATACTATTTTAATTCAAGAACTATTCAAAGTGGTTTTGGACATTAATCGCTCACGCATTATGAAAACGGACAGGTAGAAATTATATATTTAAAAGTATCTGTATACAAAACAATAAAATTTTTCGGCAAAACTCATTTATACGAGAGAAAGAGAGAGAAAGAGAGAGAAAGAGAAAGACCACTGGACAGATCTCATTTGCTCTCTTCTTCAGATAGTATATCGAAATTAGGAAATGTATCCAAGAAAAAAGAAAGAAAATGGAAAATAATATATATTGTACCATGCTAGTACTATAAAATTCCATTATAGATATGTGCTGAATCGACTTTACATCTATAATCTATAATCGCTGGTTGAGACACGTCAAAATAACGTAAGCTTTAAGTCCTGGTGCATACCTCTCTCTACCGACTACATTGCGTCGAAATTACTGTTGGTAATTAATAAAACAAATGATTCGTAATACACACTTTGAACACGATGAATATATTGAGATCATACAGGGCGCAAGATCGATTATATGCGCGAGATCCTACGATTTATGCTTTACTGATACCAAATTCTGCCATATTATGACACGCCGAACGAGCGATCTATTTTGCACTAGGAACTACATACTCCGCGACTTGTTTCTTTTCGTTACTTTTCTCTGGTGAGGTGTTACTATTACTCTGATTTAGTCAGATATCGACCTCGAACATATCCTGCTCAATCGGTTTTTTCACCCAACTGCCAAGCTGCGCTCTCACGAAAGCGTCCTTCAATTGACGTTTAGCAAGCTAGTTAAAAGGAAAGAAGAGAAACGGAATATGATAAATACAGATACTTTATCACACACACGTATTTAGATACGTATGATATATACATATATTTGTAAGCGATGTGATCATACTTACCGAGTAGTCCTGTACCGACAATTTTGCCTCAAGATAATGACGACAACGATTCTCATCAACATCCTCTATGGTCGAAAGTTTACCTAAGAGATTGAAAAACCTTCTAAAGAATGCCTGCTTAGATATTCTGGAAGGTTTTCCCAATTCGTCTTTCCCAGTCGTGCAATTTATGACCTCGGCTTCGCTCTGTCCTAAAATACGCAACGAGAAAGAAGTGTTCGTTAAATTAACCGTACGTACCGTGTGTTTAGATTAAGAACAAGTACAAACCGATTGTCCAATTGACGCTATAATTAGGAGCTTTTCCAGGTTGTCTGACCTCAGATGATGTGATTAGACTCATTAACGGTTTGTTGAGTCTGTACGGCGGCGGCAAGCCCTGAATGGTATTTTCGATACGACCGCACACTGCTCTGTACATGTGACTGGGGTTCAAAAGACTGCCGAGAACAATGCTGTGGAAGTAAATTGGCTCGATGAAGTGGCTTAGAAGCGCACCTTGCACACCAAGTACGTTCCATCGAGCTATTTTGTCCGAACACGACATCGTCAGCAGTCTTTGACCCTAAAAAATTTATCGAAGACACGTGTGAAAAAGACTACCGGATTCTTCTTCTACCAAATATTATCGACGGCGGGATAAATTGGATCTCACCATCAAGACGCCGTCCCAAGTTTGGATACCCTCGTTACTCTTGACGGGAATAGTCCCTTCGCCGGATTCTATCTTTGTACGTAATTGACCTCTCGCTCGCCTATTGGGATGTTTGTCCACGGACTCGTTTTCCTCGTGAGGCGAGAAAATCCTCGCGTCTCCACAGGGAGCGGTATTTATGTATAAATGAAATTGAATGCCTTGCTTTAATTTGAATCCCTTCTTAGCTGGCTCGAGAATAGATTCCATACTGTCGCCCTCAGTGTATAGTTCTAGTTGTTTGTACAAATATTCACAGAGACATCGACGTGCCACTACCTCCGCATGGCAATCGTTAACGGCACCACCGCTGACACTTAAATGTTCGCCCGACACGCATTTTGTACCTTCAATTCCGAAAAAGAAGACGTTCAGTAAACGTTTCACAGGGAACACCTTTAAATCATTGCTTCAATATCGTGAGTGCAAAACAAAACTCAAAGTATCTTACCAGTAGTGACGCATATCAGTTCAGCGTCTGTTCCTTTCGTTTGTACAATACCAGCTAAAACCTTACGTCTCGCGTGCTGCGGTTTGCTTTGGATGAGTTCGCTAAATTTCTGGTTCACCATCTTGCCAATTTTGTCGGCTAACATTTGCGGAAGAGTCATTTGTTCCTGCCAATGTGCGGAATTAGAGAAATTGGGCAAGATGCGGACAGGGAGCGGTATACAAAATGAGGAACTGTGAACATTTCGCAATTTCGCTAAAGCCGCTTTACTCGCCGCTGCCTTGGCCAGTTTCTTGCTCGGACCTGTTCCTTCAAATGTTTCTCCGTCAATAGTTACGGATATTGTGAATTTTGCGTAACTCTCTCCATTGTCGGATATGCAGTTGTATATAACGCCTGGATAGAGTTCGTTGATTAACGCCACTGGACCTTTATCCAAGAATTTACTCGTGTTCTTTGGCTCTTGCGTTAGTGTTTTAAATGCGTTGACAAGATGATTATCGCGTTCAGTCACGTCGCTTGTGAAATCCGGTTCGAGAGGTACAACAGATTGACAAGTATTGATGGCTTGATGAACCTCCGGTGTATTTCTAAACTGAATGATATTCCGTAAAGCAAGTTCCGCAGCTGCATGCTTTGCCATTTTCTTCGTGCGTCCTTTTCCCTCGTACGTTTGCCCATCGATCTGTACCGCAATTGTGAATATCGGAGCATGAGTGGGTCCAGTCTGGCCTACCACTTTGTAAATAGCTCCAGTTTTTAGCTCGTTCAGCGCGCATACTGCATTCTTCGGCTGTGGATTCTTATGACGTCTCTTAGCATTACTGACATCTAATTAAATAAAAAAATCAATATCTGTTGTGCTATTCTAATGAATTATTATTATTAATATAATTTATGTAGCATACATAATATGAAATGTAGATAGGTGTATGTGAAACCAACAATTACTGACCTTCTATATCAGCCTCTGATGCTCTTTTAAGGATGGCTTTTGACAAGCTTCCTTGCCCCATCTGTGAAATAAATTCATGAGACTGTAATTAATGTTTCACGGGGAAAAATGGTTGGTTGAATGAAACAATTTTTCAATAAAATACGAATGATTCGGAAATTCTGGTTGAAGTTATCAGAATTCAATCTAAATTACCAAGATTTCTGATTAATTTGAATAGAATTCTGGCATTTTCAATTGCAATTTCTAAATTGTTTATATTTCAACACAAAATTATTTCATCCAATTCAACCAAACATTTTTCTCCATGTTTATTCCATCAAGCAAACAAGTAGCTTTGTATTTTGAGTTTTATCCTGCATTTGTTCCATATCAGCAAGATTAGAAGTGCAAATTAAAAAAAGTTATAACTTATTTGACGTAGAATATATTTTAAATTTTTATTTTAACATTATCCCACTATTGTATGGTATTAATTGATAGATTACAAAATAAATAAATCTTTTATACTATCACAAAAGAAAAGAAGTAATATCATTGATTATTAACAAATTGCTTCTTATACATTGAGAAGCACAAAGTGGTAAAAAAATTAGTTGCTTGGCGGAATAACAGCTCGAGATTATTATGTTATGCTGACTTCAAAATCATTCACCTTTAGTTGGTGTCATGGTCCAGTACACAACTTGTGCCAATTCAAGGCTTTCTTAGATGCTATCCTTCCTCACAGGTGAATGTGTATTTTTGTGTTCAGTTTTGTTCTATGCCACAAAATGTGATGCATAATAAATAATATGAATAATTTAAGATACAGCCAATATCAAATACAAACGTAAAACTCACAACACCGACTAAAGGTTAAATCAGCTAATGACAAAAATATCTTGTTATTGCATAGTATCTTATTATATTAAATTTTTATTACATCATATTAAACTTATTATATTAAACTTTTAATTTTAATATCATTAAGTAAAATATTTATATGTGACTAAAATCATTAAGATAATAAACTATCAAAAATTTTTTACCATCAGTCATTGTCTATTAAAAAGTTATTAATAAAAGAAATTTGAAAGAATAACACGTATTAGTATCAGTGCTATTATCAGAACATAATTTCAAAGCATAATATGATATAAATTTTTCCTCTTACTGACTGAATCGTTGAGTTTTTAACATATATTAAAAATTTTGATAGTTGAATCATAACTTTGACAATATATGTCAAGGTCATAGGTGAGATCCTTCCTAATATAAATATTTATCTCATTATTTAGATTTAACTAAAACTAGCTTGGATGGTTTCAGGATCAGATATAATGAATTAATATGGTTTGAAGTTAGCCTCATCATATTGTGCCTATTGATTAGCTAATTTTCTTTCGTTAATATCTCAATAATTTTTTACCGTGATAATTTACAAAATTGTGGAAAATTTTGTACCTGTACCTAAGCACTCGGACTGAACCCTGCAGATAATTCTAACCGAAAAGATAGATAGAAATATCTGCTCAGTATAATTCATATCACATTACTCTACAATGCTAAGAACAGTATGAGATATCACCTCACAACGTTATTATATGTTAAACTTCTCATTTGGAGATGCCCCAAGATAACCTAAATTCTATTAACAGGTGGGAAGACAGTTTTGTATAACCCCTCATGTCATGTAACCCTTCACATACAATTATAAAATTTCCACTCACCAATGATGTATTTCCATTCTGCGGACTTTCCGTTAAAGTATTATTAGCGGCAACCATTGAACCGTCGCACTCTGAAAAATCACAGAACGTACAAACATGTGAAGATACCACAAGTAACTATGGAAAATCAATAGAGCCATTTCTCGTACTTGTCTGACTCGATTGTTGGTTGTTATTTAGCAACGCCAGTCCAGTTGACATGGTGCGTCTTGCTTAGAAAACTTGGAAATACACGGGCAAAAATAAACGCTCGCAATACGCCGCGCGCACTATGTACTTACATTGATTTTAATTATATTCTGGTACTACGAAAATCCGCAGCGCCATTGCCGTTTTTTCGCATAAATGGTCCAACCTAACCTAACCCTAGTCCTCAAGCCCAGCCTTACATTTACCCACCGCCATCAAATACAGTTCAAATGCGATCGAAGTATGTACAATAACGTGTGACGTTATTGTTGCCTTCCGTTTTCATTTTAGTCGTTTTCGAAACGAACGCGTAACGTCCAAATATATTTTCATACCGTAACCTCAAGTGATCAATAAGGAAGTCATTTGGTCACTCCGTAACCAACACGAGTCACGAGTATCCAAGAACGAATCGATGATTCCGTTTCGAAAATATCTGATTATGAAGATTGAAAGTGTATATCATTAATTCCAACTTTTAATATGTTTGCCTTGACTTTTTTAATCGAACACATCGTACTTCTTCTTTCGTCGACTTCGTCAATTCATTTATCACAATTATCGACGAAAACAAGTCATATCTCCATTGATTATTTGAAATTGAGACGCACAAAAATCCACATATCTAACACCCTAATGCCTGAACAAAGATCGGAAGGTGTTGATCGACACCCGGTATGTGCATGTCATCTGATGAGTCATTTGCTCTTTTTCAGTGAAATGTATTTTTTGCAAACGTTCAAAATAGTAGCTGACAAACGGAACGCGATTATTATGCATGAATCCGAGTAGAGCAGAAAACCACGAGGCATCAAAAGAAACGCGAGAAAATGACTATAAAAACTGACTTTTCAACCACAGTTCGATCGCTTTCTCGTGATCTTTCCTGTTTTACTTGGGATTCTAATTCAACCAGGTTGAATTATATATGTTGCGGCTTCTCTAACGGAAATTTATTACAGCCAGTAATAAATTTCCGTAGGAATTATTAACGTCGACGTGAAGAGAAAAGATTTCTTATACTTACGGTAATATTTTTTGTACCGTCCGACTATGCCCTCCACGTACACGGTATTTTGTAAGCCACGTAAAACAATTTCGTCGTACACGATACAGAGAATGTCCGGGTCGTCGGCGAATATCCCGCGATTAAAACACTTGACAATCGTACGCAGGTCCGAATGATTTATCAAGAACCGCAGTTTCTTCAGCAGGCCTTTCCGCGAGAGAGCACACAGGCGTGAACGCCACGCGTAATCACACACTCGATGGAGACTTTGCGAACGTTGCACCAATATACGCGTCACCGTAATTACAATTTCGTATAGGTCCGCCCTTGACTCTTTCATCTCACGTAAATTAAAACAGTCACCGACTTGGTAGCGAACACCAGGCGATCGGAAGTTTTTAGCGGTATTCGATACCGTACGATTACGTGCTATCTGTATCTATCAAATGTATATCTGTTGATGCGATTAATCGATGCTTCTTCGGTGATAATATTGCAAAATAACACTCGCGTTAACGGTAACGACAAATTGATATAATCCGTCGTGTTCCGCTCGTCTCGAGATGCAAAATTACATCAATTTGCCGTTACTGTTATTGCAAATGTTATTTTTCAATGACACGTTACACGTTCGTACGTACAAACGCGGGCACCACTCACACAGTCAGAAAGGCAATAAGGATCACGGCGATGTAAACAGACCGTCGTCCTTTCTAAATGTTGTGTCTACGTGTCATCGCCGCGATGTAGGTATATTCTTTAGTTTGCAATCGCTCAGACAGTATTTCTAACGACAGATTATTTTCCTGAGTAGGACAACAAAAAGTCGATATTTCTGACCTTAAATATCGATCCATCAACAATCGGTGTGGCATTTTACGACAATTTTATTGCGAGCAAAATAATTTAAACGTGTAAGAAGGAAACCAGAAGGAAATTTTGAAGGGAAGTGGTTTCACATTCACTTCCCTTGAAATTTTTCAATATCCATATGGGATACCAATATCCCGATATATTAAAGTTTTCCGACAAGAATTTCTTTACATTGTTCGTGAAAATTTAACGTACGTCAATTCTCAAGTCTATTATGCTCGACGATTTCATTTCTCACGACTGAAGTTACTGTGTCGAACGAATCGATATTTCTCGAATAGACATAATATCGCAGTTCGAGAAACTCATGCGCTGCAATTTCAATCAGTTGCGAAACGGCGGTGTGACCAGTCAGATTTGAGCGATCTCATCCAGTGAGAAATGACTTATCGATTGACATCGAAACAATGTCTCTCCCTCCCCCTCTCTCTTCTTTTCTCTTTCAACATTAGCTCTAGACGCCTATTAAAGCGAATTCCTCAATGCTATTATATGATACATTGAGATAATCGAACATAAAATGTTAAAATAAAATAAAGATGAGGTAGAGTAAAAACAGGGACAACGCAATTCCAACAATCAAAAATTACCCAGATAGACAGACATGTGTTGGCAATAGCATGCACGCATTCAATGTATATTTTATAATGCTATTGAAGCGGCATAATATGTTTGTAATATGCTTGCTGTAAAAAATACGTATTTATTATCCCATACTTTGCAGCAAAATATCAATTTGTTTGTATTGCTGATTAATTGCGTCTCCTTGCCGCAACACAATACGTGCCACAATTTTCATTGCAGCAGATTGCTTCTTTTATATGCTGCTATAATGCTTCTTGTATGAAGATATATCTTTATGTATTTATGTTACTATTTTAATTCTCGAATTCAGTCTCTATGCAGACAATATCCCGAAATTTGTCTATCTGGGTATGCGTAGTTTCGTTGTAACAAAAACTACATCCAACAGCCACGAAGGCCAACGAAAGACTGTCGAATTGATGTTGAATTTTTCGACATCGATTCGATGTTGTTTCAACAACAATCAATGACTCATTTCCCAATTAGAACCGTAACGTTGATTCAACGTTGATTTGACGTTGAAATACGTTAAACCGGTCGATAAACCGTTGAGTCAACATTAATTCAACCCTTATCGACATCGAACCAACGTTGTGGTTCTGACTGGGTTCTCGCTGGATAACAAGTTAAGCCCGCGAAGCCGATCCGAAAGCACGTTTTAACCTCCATTCATCGAGAATGAGTCTCGTGTTTAAACTATTAATTCACCGGAAATGTCGAAAGTATCGTGCGCGTTTATGGTAGTCGCTAAGAAAACATCGAAGACAAATTTTACAAAACGGGGAGGAGTGCTAATTCGCGCGTTCGTTACAAAATGATTCGGATTCAGATGATTGCCTCAGTAATTTTCGCGATTCTTCAAAGAGAATTGATTTTTAAAGAAGGTATCGAGACTGCTGAAAGCACATCGAAGATGACCTTTGCGCGTCCGTCGTAGCAAAATATTAGCCAAAAGCTGTGAAAAATGAACGTCTTGGGTCACCAAGTGTGCAAAGTGAATCATTCGGAGTCAAACTGCTGCCATCTATGTTCTTCAGTCATTGAGGTCCAATCGAGTCGATAAGTATCAATATAACAGAACCCAGTCAGAACCATAACGTTGATTTGACGTTGAAATGGTCGACGAAACATTGAATCAACGTTAATTCAACCCTCATCGACGTCGAATCAACGTTTTGGTTCTGACTAGGAAGCTACATCAAATGATATGCTTGAGATTTTTGCATGTCACTTCAATACTACTTACGGTATCGTTAGCGTCCTCTTATTATTTCTAAATCGCCGAGAACGTCAGCATACATCAATAACCTTTGACCTGTCGATTAATTGAAAAACGCTAACGTTGTCGACAATGTACTAACCATCCGATATAACTATCCGAATGGCTCACTTATTAACACATTGCCAACCGCGTGAATCATGCTTGCCTATGCGCTGCCACCGCACATTTTTCACATACAAACATGTGTAGTAACATTCTTATAAATTTAGATATTTTAAGTTAATATAATTAACTTCAATTATAATTAACTTCATATATAGTTAATTTTATAAAAGTAACTTCAAAATTCTTTCTGATAGATCATTACGAAAAGGAAGGATTCTCCCCGATCGGCGATGTGTTAACACTTAATTAATCAGGAAATATTTGGATAACAATAAATTATAATACAAATGCTAATCTTAAATGAAGCAAATTGACTATTCAGGCATTTGACTGCTTGTGCCTATTATCATAAAAAAAACGACGTCGTTTGCAATAGAAAATTAATGTTATGAGAATAATTGTTACTTACCATAAGCTGAGAAACTTGTAAATTAAAATTTTACTAAATAAATATATATATAATAATATATATGAGTATAGCGAGCAAAGTAACAAGGCTGCTTTAAAAGTGCGACAACTTGACACCGTTTGTGCAAATTTTGACATACATATGAAATATATTAAAAGTTTTTTGATGTAATTGCTAAGAAAAATTTCATATCATTTTTCAAATAATATTAAGCGAATAAAATTGTACAAATTTTTCTTATAGAAAAATGTCTGTGAGCAATACAGCGAATAAAATATTATATTATAATATAACTTCGCAACATTTTTTACTGTAAAATTACTTTAAAAAAGACAAAAGAATCTTACGAATTGCTGTTTTATTGCAATTATGACACGATTGTTAATTATATGTATTGTGAATATCAAGTTAAACTGAAAGATGACATGATGAATCTTCACTAAACTTTTTAATCAAATTACAAATGGTGACAAGTTTTGCCAAATCACAATTTATCTAAATATTTTATTGAAATAAAAATTAAAATGTCGATACATGTCTGCTGGTTGTCTCACGTGTCATTTATACAATGTAATACATAATGATGTAACTTTGTAAACCAATTTAACTGTTATGAGGCAACTATTATTTGCTAAAGTACGTTGAATGCACTTTTATTCATATTAGTTTTGCTTCCATTTTTGCAAATTTTATAAAATAATAGATTGCACAAAATTTATCTTTAACGACAAACATGTCCAAGTATTTATACAATCCCGCACATTTTAAATTAATAATTATTAATAATTATACTTTAACCCGTCAAGAAGAGATACAAATTGTTAAATATAAAAATAAAAACAAAAAGAAGAATAATAAAAAAATAAACACACACATACACACAAGCGGCTGATGGGGAAAATAAGTATTGATGGGTGCAAGTAATAAGTATATAATAAGCATATGATATGTAATAATAAGCATATGATACGTTCGCTACGCTAAAGCTACGCACAATGTCGTATTTTCACGTGATATGTCATTATATATAAATTTTTATGTATCTGCTGCGCGCTCGTGATCTTTTTTCGAGAACGTACCCATCTCTTTCGCTATTCCTCTATAAGAGGGATTACAATAATACTTATAGCTCCTTTTTATATAGTTGCGTTCCTCTTACATGTACGTCATACGATCCCTACATTTACATTTATCTAACTTGGGTTAGAGATACCTTCAGGTATTTAATTTATGGCTGCCCTACAATATATGATTCATGCTATCCAGGGATAGCATTTATATTTTCAGTTAAATTGTGGGTAAAAATAAATGCGTGTGGTGTGTGAGTGTGTGCGCGCGCATACATGGATGATGTTTTAATCTTCAACAAGTATCGAGTTCAGAATACATTCAATAAATTCCTATGCAATCTCATAAGATTCCATTACCTTGGACCAAACCATTCACAAAGACGCACATTGATCTATCTCAAATGAAATTAATCCAATTTAATTGGAAAAACTCGTGTCTACAAGATATTAACATAACAATCTTACGGATATTGTTAAGATACAGTTATATGTATATATGTATGTATGTCTGTATGTATATGTATGTATATATGTATATATATATGTAACGCACTTCATTATTTTATAATGTAATTATTTTACACACTTAATATATACAGGGTGTCCCATTTTAAAGGACCCACTCAAATATCTCAGAAACACTGCGTTAAATCGAAAAATGCTTAAGACAAAAGTTATTTGGCTTGAAGGAGAACATAAGATAGTGATAACATTTTGTTTATAGACGGCGCCATTTTCGAGATATTCACTGATTATTAATTTTCTTAAATGGGAATCCCAATTTTTTATTATATCTTCTTTTTCTACCAATTAATTATAATAACTTTTGTCTGAAACATTTTTTTATTTGCTTAATATATTTTGAGATATTTAAGGAAAACTTGGTAACTTTTCCAACATTTACCTTACGATATCTCGCTAACTATTCGTCGAAAGAAAAAATAGTATTAGACTTTTTTACTTTATTTACTATCAAGAATATATTACTATAATAGTGCCCTAACTTACACGGCAGTGCTAGCAGAAAGAGTGAAGGAGGAGGAAAAAACTGTTATCGGGGAATCAAGCGGGATTCAGGAAGGGGATGGAGTCAGTGGATCAAGTATACGCGCTGAATTACTTGATCAACAGACAAATAGGAAGGAAAGGAGGAAAGCTGATGGTGATGTTCGTAGACCTAAAGGCGGCGTTCGACTCAGTGGATAGACGGAAATTAATAGAGGCGATGAGGGAGAGAGGAGTGAGAGAAGGATTGGTGAGCAGGGTGGAGGAGGTAATGAGGGAAAAAAAAGCAGAGTGAGAGTAGGAGAGGAGACAGGAGAAGAGTTTTGGACAGCGAGGGGAGTCAGGCAAGGATGCTCACTGAGCCCAATGCTATTCAATATATTGATAGCGGACTTAGAAGAGGAGATACAAAAGAGAAAATGGGGAGGGGTCAAGGTAGGGGGTGAGA